CCTAAGGTATCTAAAAAAAGCTTCGATGCAAATCTTTAGATAGTGTTTAATTTTAAAAAATTGGTGGATTATTCCAAAAGCTACTTGTTCTGTTAGTTCCTTAGTAATATCCTGATTAAGATAAAGTATGTCGAATGAAAGAGGGATTATAAAAAATATTATTTCTCATAAAAAATTGTATTGATCCATACACTTCCATAACATTCGGTACCCATTTGCACCATTAAGATAAAATTAAGTCGGAAAATTTTTTTTTTCTTAATAAAGTACATTACATTATCTTTAATTGAAGATATATATAAAAGTGTCAGACTTTTCGGAACACTTTCAAAAGTTAAGTTGAAAAAGTTGTCATTTTAAATCCCCCCTTAGGGCAGGTAAAGGGTCAGATTTATAAAAAAAATATACCAAATGAAAGGTAATAATATCATGCATCTATATAAAAATAATTTATATTGATTTGGTTATTTTTAAAAAAGTTATGGCAATATTAAATAAAAAAAAAATTGAAAAAATTTCGAAAATTAGCGATTTTTAATTTTTTAATTTTTTTGGAAGTTTCCCCTATTTACGGGGAACGATGGATTTACAATAACGTAATTTTGTGATAATTATCTTAATTTTGAGGAAGCAAAATAATCAAAATAAGTATAAATTTATAATTATGTAAGTTAGATTCATGTAAATTTTATAAAAATTGGTGGGTTCATTACTGTGGCAAACACTTATACAGTATTTTAAAATAAACATAATAAAAATAATATTTGAACACAAAAATATCATGTTATTTAACTGCGGCAATCATTTGCATATAGAAGATAAATCGTCGGGAAAAATTTTTTTATTTTTTTTTTACAGTACGTAACATAAAGTTTTTTAATTTACCATATGTTTTAAGGACGCAGTATTTTAAAAACTGAAGTTGAAAAAGTTCTACTTTTTATACGTATGTTTCAGATTTTGAACGTCCCTTGTATAAGGGGAAATTGTGCCGATTTAAAAAAAAGTATGTCGGATGAAAGGTTTATGTATAATGGATTTAGAAACAAAATTTGTGTTGATATATACATACATTTTACGAAAAGTTATAGCAATTTAAAGTTGAAAATATAAAATATAAAATTTTAAATTTTAAAGTATTTTTAAAATTTTCTATTAAATAATATTAATTTCAAACTTACTTGTTAAACTAAAATATTTTATAAAAGTTCAACATTTTTAAATTATAAACATTTATAAAAATGAACTTTAGAAGACCAAAAAATAGGTTAAATTTGACTTTTCTAATTGGAATTTTTTATGAATTATTTATAACATATTAAAAATCAATAATAATTTAGGAATACTTTTTTTGTTTTAAATAATTTTTTTATATGTTGCAAGTGGGCTTTTTGTCGGCTTGTAACAACAACGTAGTTTGCCGCTTGCATAACGACTAACTATGATTTTTAACTCAATCTATCAGATATAATAACTGGACCATACGTGTAATTTAACTTTCAGTGAATTAATAGTTTAATTTAAGTTAATATGTCTTTATATATACAAATGATTATAACACCTAGTGGTTTATTAACTACAACTACGATAATTAAAGTTGTAAGTGGTTGATATGTTAAAAATACCGCAGCTTGTGTCTAGATTAAGGAACAGGGATAAAATACACACGAGTACTTAAGCTAATCGCGTAATAAAATATATATTACACTTAAAATTAATAAGAAAATATAATTTAGTCGCTAAAAAAGAAGATTAAATTAAACATGGACAAAAATACGGATGTATCATAAACCATGTCTACAAAGAAAGACAACAAGAATAAAACAAAATATTTAAACAAAATCAAATAATATAACAAACATCACTGATGGTATTAGAACACATCCGTAAATGATAATCAGTAATAAATAAAAAACGCTAGGAGCGGTTTGGACACTCGCTTGTTAACGTTGGCTAGAAGAAAGAGGAAATACATGCTCTCCGCATAGAAATAAAATTAATTTAATTTATTATAAAATAAAAACTAAATAAAATAATTAACAAAATACAGCTCATTACATAACTATAATTATAAAAAAAAAAACGATATCCGGTCTTTGAAGAGACCCATCTAGTGGTTTGAATGCTTTGCAGAAAAGACCTGACTGTTCATTGTTGGCGACTCTACTCTACCATAGAAAAAAATAATGGTAATAAAACTAAAGCTTGTGCACTCTAGCACGATCAATGATAGAAGAAAGATAAAGAGCCAACACTGATCTAATGGCAATTTCAAAGTGATAACGGCTAGTCATTTTAATAGAGATCAATACTGATAAAGAATTCGATTTTAATTATATTTATTCTCTTTCGTCGCCTCATCTAGTGGTCAGCGGCAAATGTAATGAATTGTTGAGACCGCTGTGTAAAAAAAGTTCATTCTTGCTATCCCTTGGCGAATTTGTTACGTTACAATGTAAATACTATTTTTTAACTAGTTATAATATCAAAAAACAGATGACAGAAAAAAAACTTTTTGAACAAATTTTTTTTTTCAAATTTGAAGTGGTATGTATTTAACTTAATACAATTTGTGTACTTTTGATGTATCGTTGAAAAAAATCAGTCCTGTTAGATAAATAGAAAGAGTGGTGACAGACATACATAAAAAATAATACATCATAGTAAAATTAAATCCTTTTTAGCTTCACATCAAAGCTTATAAACATTAAAATACATACTAATGTAATACTAATTTAAAATCAACTACTAACATACTTTATTCCTACTTCTATATTTTTAAATATAAATAAAAACCCAGCACAGGGGGGTCGCGGCACAGTTGTGACGTGGTATAGTTGGATCAAGTATAATGATATCTGACAGTGATTAAAATCACTATCAAAAATAAACGCTTCGATGCAAATCTTTAGATAGTGTTTAATTTAAAAAAAATTGGTGTTTTATTCCAAAAGCTACTTGATCTGCTGGTTCCTTAATATCTCAATTAAGATAAAGTATGTCGAATGAAAAAGGGTTTATTAAAAAATATTATTTCTCATAAAAAAATTGTGTGGATCCATAAACTTTTCAATAAGTTATAGCATTATAAAGTTAAATATAATATGAATAATAAAATCGAGAATTTTCACACGAAAATAGCATTCGGTAGCCATTTTCGCCGTGAAGACAAGTCCAGAGGTCAAATTTTTTTTTTTCAAATTAAAGTATATTACATTAGCTTTAATTTAAGATATATATAAAAGTGTCAGACCTTCCGGAACATTTTCAAAAGTTAAGTTGAAAAAGTTAATTTTTTGTGAAAAAGTTGTCATTTTAAATCCCCCCCTGTGGGCAGGTTAAGTGTCAGATTTACAAAAAAAATATACCAAATGATAAGTAAAGACATCAAGCATCTATATAAAAAAAAATTATATTGATATGTTCATTTTTGAAAAAGTTAGAGCATTATTAAGTTAAAAATATAAAAAAAAATTATTTTACAAAAATCGTAATTTTTTATTAACTTTGATGTCAACTTTCACCACGAAGACAAGTCCAGAGGTCAAATTTTTTTTTTTCAAATTAAAGTATATTACATTAGCTTTAATTTAAGATATATATAAAAGTGTCAGACCTTCCGGAACATTTTCAAAAGTTAAGTTGAAAAAGTTAATTTTTTGTGAAAAAGTTGTCATTTTAAATCCCCCCCTGTGGGCAGGTTAAGTGTCAGATTTACAAAAAAAATATACCAAATGATAAGTAAAGACATCAAGCATCTATATAAAAAAAAATTATATTGATATGTTCATTTTTGAAAAAGTTAGAGCATTATTAAGTTAAAAATATAAAAAAAAATTATTTTACAAAAATCGTAATTTTTTATTAACTTTGATGTCAACTTTCACCACGAAGACAAGTCCAGAGGTCAAATTTTTTTTTTTCAAATTAAAGTATATTACATTAGCTTTAATTTAAGATATATATAAAAGTGTCAGACCTTCCGGAACATTTTCAAAAGTTAAGTTGAAAAAGTTAATTTTTTGTGAAAAAGTTGTCATTTTAAATCCCCCCCTGTGGGCAGGTTAAGTGTCAGATTTACAAAAAAAATATACCAAATGATAGGTAAAGACATCAAGCATCTATATAAAAAAAAATTATATTGATATGTTCATTTTTGAAAAAGTTACGGCAGTTTTTAGTAAAAAAAATTGAAAAAATTTCGAAAATTAGCGATTTTTAAATTTGTAATTTTTTTGGAGGTTTCCCCCATTTACGGGGAACGAGGGAAATTTTTTCAATTTTGAAGGGTAATGTCTTCGACTAGATACAATTTGTGATCTTTTGACGTATCGTTGAATAAAATCCGTTCGGTGAGAGCTGAGAAAAAGTGGTAACAGACAAAAAAAAAAAAAAAAACACACATCATAGTAAAACCAATACCTTCTCAGCTTCGCATCGAAGCTAAAACAGTAGTTAAAAAAAAAATTGAAAAACAAACAAATTTTAAACACTAACCAAAAATTTTGAAGAAATAACTGTAATGAAAAATATGAAAAATAACAGAAATGCGGGTAAGAATCAATATCTGTTAATTTACTGACTTTTGCAGCTAGCACAAATCATAGTTCTGCAAGTAATACTGATATGTCAATAGTAATAAAAAATAATAAATTGAAGAATTCAACCAATTTTAATCTAATATTTTTCCATTTTTAGTAAAATTGTTTTTTTTTATATAAAAACAGTTTAAAAACTGGATTTATATAAAATTGTATATGTAATAATAATTCACCTTTTTTATTAAATAAAGTGTTCATATTAATACTGATTTGATTATTATTTCTTACACTTGTATGAATAGTTTGACTAAAAATAATAATTCATTATATACTTTAATATTTCCTTTAAGTACTATTTTTATATTTTAAAATATATAATAATATATAATATATAATATTATAATATTATAATATATAATATTGTTTTAAATTAGTGTTACATTAGTGCATGTATTCTAATGTAAAAAAAAAATTGTCAATAGTTATTCAGAATTTAACATTTATAATAAAAATGAAGGTGAGTAACGCACATTATCTGAGTTGCTCATTTGAAATCTTAAAAATAATTTTATTTTATTTTAGAATTGGCAATTGATATCTCTTATTTTGATAATATCCTGTGTGATATTTAATGAAGGTAAATTCTATTTTACATTATTTATACAATTTTTATATGTATTACCTTCAATGAGAAGCTGAAAAGGTAATTTGAATATGATTTTTTTTTCTGTGTCTGTACCATTCATTCTCAGCTCTCACAGATTCGATTTTGATGAACAATACGTTAAAGATCACAAATTGTATCTAGTCAAAGATATTACCCTCAAAAATTGAACAAATTTCCCTCTTTTCACGTATATAGGAAACCCTCAAAAAAATTACTATATTAAAAATCGGTAATTTTCGAAATTATTAATACTTATTTTAGTTAAAACTGGCATAACTTTTTTAAAATTGAACAAATCAATATAATTTTATTTTATGAATACCTTAGGTATTTACCTGTCATTTGGTATATTTTTATAAACATTTAACACTTTACCTGCCAAAAAGGGTGGGTTTCAAAATAACAACTTTTTTATCTTAACTTTTGAAATTGTAAAGTTTATGTAATATATTTTAATTTGAAAAAAAAAAATCATGCTGAAAATGTCCAACATATTCAAAAATATGCTAATTTTGTATTAAAATTCTCGGTTTTGTATTTTATTTTATTTTAAAATACTTTACACCGGGAGTTATATAATTGAATATAAATATAATTGAAATAGCATATGATGTTAAACTTACTTAAGTTTTTTTGCTTCAATTTTACGATGAAAAATTAAAGGGATAAAATATACTGATGTACCCTCCTCAAAAGTAAAAAAAACACCCAATATGATATTTAAATTGCATAAAACTATTCTCGACACTACAGAAAAACACAGATTTTTACCAATTAACAACAGTACCATCAGAAGCATTAATATATCATTAACTGATATTTATGAACACAATATTCTAACTACTAGAATATAACCAAGATTAACTATTAAAATATTTTATAATTTCGTCATTATAATTTAATTTATTAATTTTTTATTTTGTAACTGAAATAATGAGTTGAATAATTATAACATATATAATGTGTATATATTTAATCGTTATATATTAAATATACAATAATAAAAAGAACAATTACAAAATTGTGGTTTGAAAACAACAAAAAACTATTATTAATTTATTTGATTTTGCGCCGGCTTTTACTGATTTTCTAATGCTAAATTTCACATATTACACTTTTTTCTCAAACTTCAAATTTTTATGGTGTATTAAAGAGAAGTATATCTAAAAAATTAAAAAAATTTTTTCTGAAATTAGGTCCCCCAACAAAAATAATGCATCTAGAATACGTGTATTTAAAAAAAAAAATCTAACTTTATAGGCCTCTAAATCTCAAGAAAATTATTTTAAATTTAGTTGAAACATAGATTATATATTATACAATACCACATTTGAAAATCATTATAAACGTATTTAATTATGCTCAAAATAGCCAATTTACGCAGAAACGTCATTTTTAGAAAGTCATTTAAGTTTAGAATTTCACATAATTTTTTTCTTAATGTAAACTTAAAGTTACTATAATGTCATGTCTAAAATTATAATTTGATTAAGTTAATATTGAATAATGTGTGTGTTTTTAATGTTCTGGTTATTTTTAACATTTTTACATTAAAATACCATAAAAATGGGAAAGTTGTAAAAAAAATTGTTTTTATCTTAATATAACATAAAGCTTAAACCCTGAAAATTTAAGAAAAAAATGAGATAGTTGTGCAACCACTTCTGGATGATTTTGGCATGGATTGACCTCAAATAATAAGAGTATAAAATTTGTTTTTATACTAAATTACACTGTAAAATTATATTACTAAATTGAAATACTTTTTAATCAGCATAAAACAAAATATATTTTGCTTAACCACGTTTTCATTCAGATTTCAAATCTTCATTTAGATTAATTTCCATCGCCTCTTTTTTTGAGATTATTACTAAATTATAAAAACGAGCATTTACATTTAAAAATTTATTTTGATTTTTAATGTTTTATAAATAATCCATGCAAAATATCGATTCAAAATATCATGTTTAACCCGTAACTACTGGTACAGGGAAAAAATATAACACTACTGGTACAGTGTGGTGTGACACACCGCTACGTTTAAAGAGCGATATTTCGATCTTTTAAGATCAAGTATTTCAATATGTTCATACATATATATTACAATTATAATATAGATAACTTTTTTGGACCTTATTTTTTATTTAAAAAATGTATTTTCGTATTATTTCAACAAAACGTAAATAATTTCAAAAACTTAAAAATCAAATTATTTTTTAAACATTTTTTTCGTTCTAGGATTTTTCAAAATAAGGTACTAAGGCTAAAACCTATATATAATGGTTTTAGACACAACCTAAAACTAAATTTAAAAAATATATATACATATATATCATTTTTTATATATAAATAACCCAAGACATAACTCCAGTTAAAATATTTTTTTTCAATACTTTATTTCAACAATATTTTTATTAGGCAAATCCCAAAATAGCTATGAGATTGTCTTCGAAATATTATCCTCTTTCAATTTTGTAATAGATGTTAAAGCTCTAAATGTAATACAGAGTGAGTAAAATGTACTTTGGACTACTTTTGTAGATTTTTTTGTCGACTAGTGCTGCTCCTAACGATTATATTTTAAAAATATTAACAGATGATGGTGCGGCGTGCGGTGTGACTCAATTTTTTGCCAAAAACGTTATCAATATTTCTTTAAATAATTTCGTTAGCACTTGCGGACCAATTTTATTATGCCGGCACTCAATCTTTGAATTGTTATTACTTATCAGAATTTTTATTTACTATCGTTCCTGATGACAATATAATATCTTAATTTCACCTATTCCTATGAATAAAGATATCATGCCAAGTCCTTTGATTTGATTAAAAAAAATCATAAATGTATCCCCCACTATGCTTTATGTGCTTAGAGTGAATTAAGCAAAACTAATTTTGTCGTACCTATTGCAGCACTGCTTGTCTCGAGTTGTACGAAATAATTTCAAGGATTTTGGCTAAATTTATTGTTAAAGTGTGGTGTTGTACTTAGTTTTTTTTAAATGGGTAATAAAAATAATAAAAAAACGGTAGCACAGTGGGGTCGCGGCACAGTATGGACGTGGCATAGTCGGAACACGTATAGATGATATCTGACAGTGATTAAAATCACTATCATAAGAAACGTTTCGATGGAAATCTGTAGATAGTGTTTAATTTTAAGAAATTGGTAGATTATTTGAAAAGCAACAATTAAATTTAGTATGAAATTGATTTTCAATAATTTAATATTGTAATTTTTACGGAGATATTATAAAAATAATAAAGTAGATGTATATTTCTTTACTTTTAACGCGAATAACAATTTAAATTGCTTGATGCAATATTTTTTGATAAAAAATCTTTGTTATTTATAACAAAGTTATAAGTTATATACACTGGACTACAAGGAACTTTCGTCAGAAACAAAAATATACTTTTCTAAATCAACTTATTGCGATGTTTTCAAATGTGCAATTAGACTTTTTCTACCACTTATAAGTTTTAATATTATTATTTATTACTAAAAAATAAGTATTTACGTATAAAAAAAAAAAATTAAGAACAAAAAAAAATTGTTTTAAATTAATATTAATTTTGATTATTAATATTTTAAAAATAAGGAAAATGACATATTTAACCTATTTTTTTAATCCTTTAAAGAACCCAACCAAACCCTCCGATGACACTTGCGTCTTTTAATGTGATGGGATCCTTGATATTTATTGAAGTCATTGAATCTAAATGAGATAAAAATCAAAGGAGTTTAAAATTTATTTTAACTTAAAAATAATTAAGAAAAATTTCCTTGCCATACGCGGTTTGGAACTTTGTACCCCAAGCGCGTTAGACAAAAGTTTTACCGACTAGGCAACCGTACGTCGCTTCCATCAACTATAAAAAGTAAAAAAATTTAAATAAGTTTAACTTTCTATGTATATCAATTTGATTAATATAATATTTATGAAAATCGGTGTACTCCTGTTGTCAGGTATATTAAAATAAATTAAAACGCAAGAATTTTATCACAAAAATAGCATATTTTTACATACGGTAATCATTTTCACCATGAAGATAAGTCCAGAGATTAATTTTTTTTTTCAAATTAAAGAATATTACATAAACTTTAATTTAAGGTATATATAAAAGTATCAGTCTTTCCAGAACATTTTTAAAAGATAATTAGAAAAAGTTACCATTTTAAAACCTTTCCTGTGGGCTGGTAAAGGGTCAAATGTTCACAAAAAGATATCAAATGATAAGTAAATACCTGAGGTATCAATAAAAAAATGCTATATTGATTCGGTCATTATTAAAAAATTTATGGTAATTTTAATTTAAAAAAATTGAAATAATGTCAAAAATTAGGGATTTTTAAATTTGTATTTTTTTGGGAGATTTCCACGTTTACGGGAACGAGAGAATTTTTTTCAAAATTTTAAGGGTAATGTCTTCGACTAGATACGATTTGTGATCTTTTGACATATTTTTTATCAAAAACGGTCCTGCGAGAGCTGAGATTGAGCGTTCACAGACACAAAAAAAAAACACATCATAGTAAAATTAATACCTTGTCATCTTCGTATGGAAGCTAAAATAAAAAGTGATAGAAAAAGTCTAATTGCATATTTGAAAACAGCGCGAAAGTTGATTTAGAAAAGTATATTTTTGTTTTTGATGAAAGTTCCTTGTAGTCTAGTTTATTTATTCAAAAGTAACAAAATTTTTTTATTAAAAAGTATTGCATCAATCCCTTTAAATTTTTATACACGTTAAAAGTAAAGGAATATACTCCTTTTTATCTTCGTAAAAATTAAATATTATAATATTGAAAATCAATTTCATACTAAGTTTAATTACTTTAATTATTATGTATTCATATATTATAATTGTAAATCGGGATAAAATTAAGGGGATAAGAGTTATGGTTGCTTTTGAAATAATCTACCAATCTCTTAAAATTAAACAATATCAACAGATTTGCATCGAAGCGTTACATATGATAATGATTTTAATCACTGTCGGATATCTTCTATACTTGTCCCAACTATGCTACGTCCATTATGTGATGCGACCCCACTGTGCTACCGTTTTATAGTTATGAATTACGAACGATGAGTTATTAAATATTATATTTATTTAAGTTCGAGTATGTTCAGTAAACATTGTTCACTGAGTATAAAAATTAAAAATGGAGAGAAACATGTGGAATGGTAAGTATACGTGAACTGATAGGCTAGACAAACTACCGAGAAAATCTCTGTAGTTTAATAAATATATGGGCCTACATTATATGATAGGTGTAGTAACTTCTAGATAGTTCTAATACTATGATAAAACAACTATAAACAATATATCAGCCACAAAACATTAAGTAAAATATTTACGCTAATACGACACTGAGTTTTTCTTGAAAAAATTTATGAGCAAAAAAGAAAAAATTAATGACGGTATGACCTTGCCGCCGATATGGAACACAACGCCATCTCTGGAGCATTGTATGCGTATCGTTTTTACTAGAACGTTCTCTTAACAAATAATTTTTTTACAATCATTTATGAACTCGTCGAAAATTTCAGAAATAAAAGCGGTAGGATTATTTTCTTTTCTTTGATCTCTAGTATCCGGATTATCAAAACGTAAACAGTTAATTAAAAATAAGAACCTTTTTTGACTTATAACTAAACAAAATATTTTGCGGCCAGTCCCATTAGTAGTAAATAAAAGTTCTGCACTTTTATGATTTTACTTAAAAACAGCTGAATAATATAATAAGCCAAAAAGTGATCTTTATATTTCTGACGGACACTATCAATTTTTAAATTGGTCTTAATTAAAATTTCAGTTAAAATAGAATCTGTAAAAAACATATTCCAAATATCCAAAGGATTTGCAGTATCACCTAACTTTTTTATATGATCACGTTTTCTGGAAATTTAAGTAATAATATTATGACGAGCAGTCCTAGTATTTTTTATACAATTTCATTTGCTGACCATTTATACATATTTTTTCATACAAATTTTTTGAAACTCCTATAGATTCATGATCAGAACTATCAGACTACTATGTTCCTCGTAAATGGAGGAAACCTCCAAAAAAATTACAAATTTAAAAACCGCTAATTTTTTCAATTTTTTTTATTTAAAACCTAACCAAATCAATATAATTTTTTTTTAGAGATGCTTATGTCTTAACTATTATTTGGTATATTTTTTTTATAAATCTGACTCTTTACCTACCTACAAGGGGGGATTCAAAATGACAACTTTTTCAACTTAATTTTTGAAAGTGTTCCGGAAAATCTGACACTTTTATATATATCTTAAATTAAAGCTAATGTAATGTAATTAATTATGGAAAAAAAAATTTCAGACTTTATTTTGTCTTAATGGTGAAAATGGGTATCGTATACTATTTTTGTGTTTAAATTCTCGATTTTATTTATTACATTTTTAACTTTATAATGCTATAACTTATTTAAAAGTGTATGGATCAACACAATTTTTTTATAAGAAATAATATTTGTTAATAATCCTTTTTTCATTCGACATACTTTATCTTAATCAGGATATTAATAGGAACTAGCAGAATAAGTAGCTTTTGGAATAATCCATCAAATTTTTAAAATTAAACACTATATAAAGATTTGCATCGAAGCGTTTTTTTTATAGTGATTTTAATCACTGTCAGATATCATTATACTTGATCCATCTATGCTACGTTACCACTGTGCCGCGACCCCCCTGTGCTGGTTTTTTTTATTATTTTAACTTACAAGTTTAAAATTGATATAATTCATTAAACATAATATTTTATAAGAATTTAAAAAATGGTATTTTTAGGATTAATAAGCAGTCGGGAAATTTTCACGTTTCCGTCGGGACGAGATCTACTTCCCATTCCGCTTACCACTACTACGACTGGAAGAGACTGATTAAAGGCTTGCACCACCTGTTTTGGACGTGAGCGGCCATGCTCGTCCCGAGTATAGTGTCGGAGATTCGGACAGTTTTGCTTCAGCCGTTATTGTGATGGTTGCCTAAGAAGGCGAACATGTGACCATCGCTTCGTTTCCGGGTTTTTCCTTGGTTAACCCGCTTGGTCAAACTGTAATCGCAATTCCCACACTTCTGCTATTCTAACTCGGTTACTACTCCAATTCAGCAGCTCTTCGAGGGTTTTCACTAATAATACCACTAGCTGCCGTATCAGCGTTTTTATCTGTTGGCGTATCATTATCGCGGTTTTAGTGGCTAACTGGTAGGCTTCCCCTTGCTGCTTGTTGTTGGTCATCCTGTAACAGACAATGGTTGTTAGGAATACTTCCTGAAATCCAATCTGGATAAGGGATAAACACGGTAAGACGAATTGTGATCAGCATTATTTTTACCGAAATATTGAGAGGGTTGTCCTCTCCCTGGTAATTTTAATTTTCCCATCGAAGACACCGCAGTTTTGGTTATCTAACTGAAGTTATGGTCATTTTTGGCTTTTTTGGTAACGATTCGGTAAAATTATTCTTCCGTTCTATGTGCTTCAAATTATCATTCCGTGAGTCCGGTTGTTTACCCGTAGAAATAATGTCCAGCAGCCTATCACGGTGGGCTTTGCCTTCTTATCCAGAAACCCGCTCAAAAAGAGTGCTCTCTATTAGCTTGTTCCAACGATTTTTTTTTGGAAAAAGTATGTTTGGAATACAGAAGTCTCAGTGACTATATGAATTGTCCACCAAAGCTGTACAAAGACCTCTTTTTCCACTTTTGATTACGAAGTTTTATTGGGTTTGCTCTTGAATAGTGAATTGGATTTGACTATCCATCTGTGCCCCACTTTTCAGTGTTTTTTCTATTGTCTTGGTGACGAACTGTGTTCCATTGTATGTATTCTATCATATCCGAGATGAGAGAAAAAATTAATTTCAAAAGTAGCGATGGATTGCTCAAGTGGGTATGCTTCCACCCATCTACTGTAGCAATCTGTCGCCATATGATTCGCAGGGTATGGTCACATTGGGTCGTCTAGGTTCCGGTTTAGTCATTTAACACAAACACAAATGTGACTTGTTGACGTACTGACTCTCTCATACCGGGCCAGAAAAAATGATTACCGATGCTCCAGTAAGTTTCTTTCTAACCTTGATGTCCAATGAATATATTGTCAAAATACACGATTACTTCATAACAAGTGATTTGCTATGTCCGAAGGAAAGACGATAATCTTGCCATCCGTTCTGTTATTGCAAGAGGTATTCTTGGTGTAAGCGCCAGTAAATTGGATTGTCGCTCCATTGTTTCCGGGCATACTAGGTCAAAGTTATACCTTAAGTTTGTCAGTTTCTAATGTCATAAATAATGATATTCTCCGAGTTAATTGTTGCTATTTTACTGTTTTTGGCTAATAGAGTCACTAAAATAGTCACTTTTACCCTTTAGATATGTTTTTTCTAAATTTATCTCAGGTAACTCAACTAATTTTGGGTTCTGGTCGGACGCTAAAAATCACTCTGTTCGTTAGTCAACAATTATTCGGTAAATAAGTTTGCGGTTCGGACCCGGAGGTCATAAAGTGAATCTTTGTCAGATGTCACTACTTTCCAGTATTTGCGAACCTTTTTTCTTCTCTGTTATTTTCTTCAACAGCATGATTTTTTGCTTCTTCGATGCCTTATTAGGTTTATGATTGGAAACTTTAATACCGGGCAATCAAAAGGTGTTATAGACCAGTTATTTTCTTAATTAAATCAATATATGTAAGGATAAATCGGACCGACTCAGTCTCATACTCAGTAATATGGTTGCGCTGGAGTACCACCGTATTTTCAAAGTCTTCAATTTTGGCTATATACTCGTTAATATACAAATGCAGGGTCGTATACCAAACATGTGAGAGGGCCTACTCAGTGTTGTTTTCCTCTGCATTATCCAGTGCATTGTCCGGTCTGTCATTGTTAGTTCCTTTTATCTGACTGGTACTACCTTTAGGAACATCTTTACTCTGAGGGAGAGGATTTTTGGTTTGAACGGGGTAACACTTTATGTTCCCCACATTAACACCCTTTTACTTAAGAAACTTCTCAATCATGAGATCAGCTTTGATTCCATCAGTTGTGAGTCGCCGTAGCGCCAACTTACCTTGTAATTCATTAATTAAGAGCTCAAGTATGGTCTTACCTGAAATACTGAGTGAAAAAATTTAAAGTATAAATTAATTACAAGTTCAATAATAAATATTATTTGGCTTATGGATTTGCCTAATATCTATTTTTAGTACAAATAACATTAGACAAATTTCTGTATAAAAAGTCTATGCCTATTACTCATGTATACCTTAATCCCAACCTGTCAGACGAAAAAAAATTGATTTTCTCTTAATTAAATATACTTCTTTAATAATCTAGAATACTAAAAATTTTATTTATACAAATATAAACATTTTATTAAAGCTAATATTAATAAACAATTATTATCATGTAGGGATTCAATATTCAGGTGACGATGTAATATGCCAATTTGAAAAAGGTACCACTAGAAAAGCTGCTGAAAACGGAAACTTAGAATTTTTAATATATGCCCGTGAATATGGATGTGAATGGGATGATGATACGACTTTTGTAGCTGCTTCATATGGTAATTTAGAATGTTTAAAATATGCTCATGAAAATGGATGTGAATGGAACGAAGAAACAACAAAGGCTGCTGCTAAAAAAGGATATTTAGAAATCTTAAAGTATTTACATAAAAATAAATGTCCGTGGAATGAAAGCACGACAGAAGCAGCTGCAAAATATGGTAATTTAGAATGTTTAAAATATGCTCATGAAAATGGATGTGAATGGAACGAAGAAACAACAAAGGCTGCTGCTAAAAAAGGATATTTAGAAATCTTAAAGTATTTACATAAAAATAAATGTCCGTGGAATGAAAGCACGACAGAAGCAGCTGCAAAATATGGTAATTTAGAATGTTTAAAATATGCTCATGAAAATGGATGTGAATGGAACGAAGAAACAACAAAGGCTGCTGCTAAAAAAGGATATTTAGAAATCTTAAAGTATTTACATAAAAATAAATGTCCGTGGAATGAAAGCACGACAGAAGCAGCTGCAAAATATGGTAATTTAGAATGTTTAAAATATGCTCATGAAAATGGATGTGAATGGAACGAAGAAACAACAAAGGCTGCTGCTAAAAAAGGATATTTAGAAATCTTAAAGTATTTACATAAAAATAAATGTCCGTGGAATGAAAGCACGACAGAAGCAGCTGCAAAATATGGTAATTTAGAATGTTTAAAATATGCTCATGAAAATGGATGTGAATGGAACGAAGAAACAACAAAGGCTGCTGCTAAAAAAGGATATTTAGAAATCTTAAAGTATTTACATAAAAATAAATGTCCGTGGAATGAAAGCACGACAGAAGCAGCTGCAAAATATGGTAATTTAGAATGTTTAAAATATGCTCATGAAAATGGATGTGAATGGAACGAAGAAACAACAAAGGCTGCTGCTAAAAAAGGATATTTAGAAATCTTAAAGTATTTACATAAAAATAAATGTCCGTGGAATGAAAGCACGACAGAAGCAGCTGCAAAATATGGTAATTTAGAATGTTTAAAATATGCTCATGAAAATGGATGTGAATGGAACGAAGAAACAACAAAGGCTGCTGCTAAAAAAGGATATTTAGAAATCTTAAAGTATTTACATAAAAATAAATGTCCGTGGAATGAAAGCACGACAGAAGCAGCTGCAAAATATGGTCATTTGGAATGCTTAAAATATGCATATGAAAATGGCTGTGAATGGAATGAACTCACTATTGTGTTCAGGGCTATTCAAACAGATAATCTAGAAATTTTAAAATATGCCCACGAAAATTTATGCGAATTGAATAAAGATGCAACTACTATGGCTGCCTTAGAAGGTAATCTAAAAATTTTAAAATATTTACATAAAAATAAATATCCTTGGGATGAAAATACAACATGCGGAGCTGCTTCTAATGGTAAATTAGAATGTTTAAAATATGCTTATGAAAATGGATGTCCTTGGAATGAAAATACAACACGTGGAGCTGCTTCTGGTGGTGAATTAGAATGTTTAAAATATGCTCATGAAAATGGATGTCCTTGGGATGAAGTCACAACAGATGCGGCTGCTTATTATGGAGAACTAGAATGTTTAAAATATGCTCATGAAAATGGATGTCCCTGGAATGAAAACATAACACGTGGAGCTGCTGCTTATGGTGAATTAGAATGTTTAAAATATGCTCATGAAAATGGATGTCCTTGGGATGAAGTCACAACATGCGGAGCTGCATCTAGTGGTGAATTAGAATGTTTAAAATATGCTCATGAAAATGGATGTCCTTGGGATGAAAATACAACACGTGGAGCTGCTTCTAGTGGTGAATTAGAATGTTTAAAATATGCTCATGAAAATGGATGTCGTTGGGATGAAAATACAACATGCGGAGCTGCATCTAGTGGTGAATTAGAATGTTTAAAATATGCTCATGAAAATGGATGTCCTTGGGATGAAAAAACAACACGTGGAGCTGCTTCTAGTGGTAAATTTAAATGTTTGAAATATGCTCATGAAAATAAATGTCCATGGGATAAAAGTACAACAGAAAGAGCTGCTGCTAATGGACATTTAAAATGTTTAATATATGCTCATGAAAATGGATGCTTTTGGAATGAAACTACGATAAGGGTGGCTGCACATAATAGTAAGTTTGAGTGTTTAAAATATGCCCATACAAATGGATGTCCGTGGGATGAAGCCACAACTAGAGCTGCTGCAGCAAGTGGGTGTTTAAACTGCTTGATATATGCTAATGTAAAGAGATGTAATTGGGATAAAGATACGATAGCTGCAGCAGCTGTGCATGGTAATTTAGATTGTTTAAAATATGCCCATAAATATGGATGTGAATGGGTTGAAGGTACAATGAGATTGGCTGCTGCGAATGGACATTTAGACTGCATTAAATATGCCCATGAAAATGGTTGTGAGTGGGACGAAGGCACAACAAGGGAGGCTGCTGCTAGTGGTTATATTGACTGTTTGGTGTATGCACATAAAAATGGATGTAAATGGGATGAAGGGACAAAGAGTGGTGCTGCTGCAAATGGTCACATAGACTGCCTAAAATATAGTCATTTAAATGGATGTTTGTGGGACGAAGGGACAACAAGACTTGCTGCTGCAAATGGTCAATTTGATTGCTTAAAATATGCCCATGAAAATTATTGTCCATGGAGTAGAGGAACAATTTATGAAGCTACTCAAAAAAATTATATAAGTATAATCAACTATGCTGTCGAAAATGGCTGTCTTAATTAATTTTTTATTAAAATATAATTATTTTTATTTTATTTTTTAAGTTGCCATTATTACATTATTTGTAAAATTAATTTATTTGATTTCTGGTGATTATCTGAAAAGGTATTGATTTTAGTAATAGAATTTTTGAAATTTTGACAGATTGGTTTATTAACAATTTATCATCACTAAATAAACCAATTTAGAAGAATTAATTTAGAAGATAAATATGAAAACCAGGACTATATTTATTTAAACAAATCGTATCAACTCAATTAATTTTTGGTATTTAAATATACATTTCACAAAATACTATGCTTCTGAATTGTACCTAAAAATTTTTTTAAGATTAAGTCAACGTAATAAATTTTGTTGTGAGTAGCTTGAACCCCATAGTTCCCCCTGTGAACAACCTTTGTAAGATACATATGGATAGCTTAAATTGCTCCATTTTATTTAAAAAATAAAAATATCGTATTAGAATTTACGAGGAACAATGCAAAGAGCTTACATTATATTTTAAGTTTTGATATTTTATAATAAATATCAAAAATTAGTACCAAAAATTCATAAGGATTAATGTATGCAACTTAACATTATGAAGTCCAAAGATTCTTTACGATTTACAGGACCCACTTATTGATGTTCATTAATAAGATCCAAAAATGAGTTGTCCTACAAGTATAAAAAGTCATATTTTAGCTTCGATGCGAAGCTGAGAAAGTATTAATTTGAATATGATGTGTTTTTTCTTTTTGTTTATATTATCATTATTTATATTATAATCATGTTTATTATATAATATTCAAAAATATGCTATTTTTTCTGTTAAAGTTTGGGTTTTGTATTTTAATTTTATTTTAATATAATTTAAAATGGGGTACACTGATTTTCTGAATATTATATAAGACTAATATTATAGAACATAAAATTAAATTTATTATCCCCTGTGGGTAGGGGCCAGAAAACAGCCACGGTAGTCCATACTCGTCGTAAGAGGCGACAAAAAAATGGACCTGAAGGTGAGCAGCAGCGCCTTCAGTACTGGCTATAGGTGGATGCTTCGTAAGCAGGTACAGCTATAGCCAGGTAGAAGTAGTAGGCGTGCATGGAGACCATGAACACGGCTGCGATGTGGAAGGCAAGAGGAAACCACCACATTAATCTCTTTAGTCAATTAACAAATGACCAGCACAATAAATGATATAATGTATGGAAACAACCTTATCGGAGAGCTTATTCCCAGCAGGAGGCCAAACAAGGTACCTCAGGTCGTCACCCAGCGAAACCCTTGTAGTATGATAAAAACATGGAATGTTCATATATGCCCACAACACAAGCAAACGATGAAGAAGTAGAAGAGATCTACGAACAGATAGAAGAACTCATTAATCTTACAAATAGTAAGGAAAATTTAATTATCATGGGGGACTGGAATGCGATTGTGGGTGAAAATACAGACGGCAGAGAAGTTGGTAAATACGGACTCGGAACAAGGAATGATAGAGGTGATCGTCTTGTCGAATTCTGTAGACAACATGATTTAGTTAACAAATACTTTATTCATGAATCATAAAAGAAGATGTTTTACGTATAAAATGCCAGGTGATATTAACAGATACCAATTAGACTATATCCTGGTAAAGAATAGATACAAAAACCAAATCAAATAGAATAATTCCTACCCAGGAGCGGATATTGACAGTGACCACAGCCTGGTAATGATCAAGTCCGTATTGAAATTCAAGAAGTTAGAAAAACCAAAAAATAAGGGGCATAAATGGAATTTGTGTCAACTAAAACAACCAGAAATAAGAAAACTCTTCGAAAAGAAATGCAAATAAAAACTTGAAACCAAAAGTAAGCCGAGGATAAATGATTGTAATAATATAGAGCATGGTTGGCGTCGCATAAAAGAATCTATTGACCAGTCTGCAAAAGAAATATTAACTAGGGAAAAACCAGCTCCGAAATGCAAATGAATAACAATGGAAATAGTTCAAGATATAGAAAGAAGAAGATTGCTTAAAAACAAAATAGATGAAGAAAGTAAAAGACTATACAAGATGTTAAGAAATAAAATAATCCGTGAAGTAAAAAAAGCCAAAGAGATGAGGATCGAAAAGAATTGTGAAGAAATAGACAATATGATGAAATATAATCGACAGGATAAAGCATATAAACTTATCAAACGATATTTCAATGAAAAAAAGTCACAATGCACACACGTAAAGGATAAAGAGGGAAATTTACTTATAGATGAAATAGCGATAGCGAATAGATGGAAAGAATACGTAGAAGAGCTATATGGAGAAGAAGAAAACACCGACTTACTCGTTGAAAACCCAACCGACGGTGACTTTGATTCAAATGCAGATACAAGGATTCTAAAATCAGAATTTGAAGACGCACTTCAAACAATGAAGAAAATCAAAGAACCAGGCCCAGACGAATTAAACACAGAACTCTTACAGCAGTCAGGAGATGAAATAAAGAACGCTCTGTACGAACTGTTATGTCAAATATACGAGACTGGGAAAATTCCGAGAGATTTTGGATGTAGTAGATTAGTTATCCTACCAAAAAAACCTAGAGCCAACCAGTGCAAAAATTTTATAACCCTGAGCTTCATATCGCATGCGGCTTAATTACTGGAAATAATTGAAAGCAAAAGAATAAGTAAAAGGATAGAAGTCAGATTACCAAACGATCAATATGGTTTCCGGAAGAACAAAGGAACCAGGGAGGCTATTTTAGGTCTGAGAATAATACTTGAAAAGCAAATTGATAGACAAAATATCACTTATATGACCTTTGTAGACCTAGAAAAAGCATTCGATAGCATAAATTGGGCAAGTCTCTTTAATATTTTGGAAGAAACAGAGATAGACTTTAAAGATAGACGTATTCTCTATAAGATTTATGAAGAAGAAAAATCCATTATTAACATTAATACAACAACATTGACTGCCAGAATCCAAAAAGGTGTGAGACAAGGGTGCCCACTTTCACCTGCATTGTTTAATGTATTTATTGAAAATGCAATAAACGTCATAAAGCTTTGGTTAAAACAAAAAGGAATTTGAGTGAAAATAGGAGGGGTACTAATAACAATGCTTCGCTTTGCTGATGATATAGTCGTTCTTGCAACATCTGAGGAAGACTTACAAGCAGCGTTAAATACAATGAATACTACGTTTAAAGAATATAGTCTGAAAATAAACGCAGCCAAAACCAAAGCCCTAGTATGCTACAAGAAAGACATACCATATATAAATATAATATTGGAAAACAAAGAAATTATCCAAGTAGACTATTTCAAATACTTAGGCAGCATTATAACAGACGACGGGAAATTTACCTAGGAAATCAGGAGCAGGATAGGTCAAGCAAAGAATACATTCCTTAAAAAGAGATAAATACTAACATCAAAAAATATGTACATAGTAACGAAGAAACGGCTCATAAAAACATACGTCTGGAGTGTAGCATTTTACGGAAGTGAAACCTGGACAATTAATAAGAAAGAAAGATATGTTAGAAGCTCTAGAGATGTGGTGTTGGAGAAAGATGCAGAAAATAAGCTGGACTGATAAAATATCAAATGAAGATATCCCGAGGATAATAGATGAAAAACGAACACTGATTGACATTATAAAGAGAAGGAGATGGCAGATGATAGGACACACGTTGAGGCATGGAGATTAATTGCATAGTTTAATAATTGAAGGAATGATAGAGGGTACAAGATCAAGAGGAAGATCTAGAACGAGGTACATTAGCCAAATAATGCAGTATGCAGGAGTCACTTCCTACAGGGAGCTTAAGATTATGGCGAATGATAGATAAAAATGGAGAAGCCATTTATTGTAAAACATTTGTTAAAAACCAATCTTCGAATTGAAAAACAAAAAAAAGTTTTAAAGTTTTGGGTTTTGTATTTTAATTTATTTTAATATAATTTAATATAATTTAAAATGGGGTACACTGATTTTCTGAATATTATATAATACTAATATTATAGAACTTAAAATTAAACTTATTTCAATTTTTTTTTTCTTTTAAATCAGTTTAAATTGCCAATTTTATTAAAAAATTAATGCGACGAACGTTTGCTGATTCAGTAAAAATCATTGACTGCGGAAATGATTTTTTTGCAAATTTTCATTAATTCTTATTGAGTTCAAATTTTGATTTTGGTTTAATCCATAAATTTCTTATAATTAAACACTATCTACAGATTTGCATCGAAGCGTTTCTTATGATAATGATTTTAATCACAGTCAGATATCATCTATACTAGTCCCAACTATGCCACGCTCACACTGTGGCGCGACCGCACAGTTCTACCGTTTTTTTTTTTTAATCGGACCATTTCACTTCATACAAGACAGGTCAAATTTTTAAACATGCCTATAGAAAGTAAAACTTTTTCAACTTAAATTTGGATGGCGTTGTGGAAATATGCTATTTTTAAGTTTTTATAATTTAATAATATACTATTTCATTTTTATAATTAATTATTTCAAATTATTATTGATTTTTAATACGTTAAAATAATTAATTTTAACTCATTTTTTTCCTTTAAAATGAAAGTTTATAATAATAAAAAAAAATGAATTTATTACCACAACTTTAGCTCAACTTACATGTTTATAATTGATATCATTAAATAGAAAATTTTATGAGAATAAAAATATGGTGTATTTTAGATTATTATGCAGTCAGGAAATTTTATAATTACTATTTACAGTAAATTTATCAGAAAAGCTCGATGATTTTGCATTTTTATCGTTATAGATGACTTAAATAAATCAAAGTAATCATTTCTAATTAACTTTTGTAGTGTAAAAAGATTTACAAATAATATATTTAGAACTTAATTAATTTTAATGATTTACTTTAACTAAAAGAACTAATTAAAAAGTTCTGAAAAAATCGACTCAATTTAGTGTATTATAAAATTTGATTACAATAGTAAAAATCTATTGTTAAATTCAGGTGAAACTGAAAATCATTTTTTTAGA